TGTGGCCAGTCTGTGCCATCTGTGGCAGCACCATCCTCTCCTGTGGATGATACAAAGCCCTGCTGTGGGGAGGGAAGTTTCTGGTGCTTTGGCATCATTACCTGTCAGGATCCCTCTCAGAGATTAGCTGTGCTTGAGGGATGGTACCATTGCCTCACCACCCCCAGCCTCCCACCTTGCAGGATATGTGCGTCTTCCTGTCCATGCCTCTGAGTGCCCATTGCCAAACACAGCATGGGAGTTGGCAGGAGCAAGTCTGAGTTGCCCCTGGTACAGCCAGTTTGCCTCTTGTAATCACCCCAGTTGTTCACCTGCACTGAAGCACCTTATGGCCGCACCTGGGCTCAGCTGCCCTGTTTGACCCAGTTACTGCCTCTCAGCTGGGAGCCTCTGAGGATCTGGCAAAGGCAGTGCTGCCCAGACTTTGGCCCTGCAGGCTGGATGAATGGCACAGGGCTGGTGTGCAGACTGGATCCCATGTGAGATCTGTGTATAGATAGGGTTGGTGTCTGCATGCTGGGATGTGGCCATGCACTGGCTGGCCCCATGTGCCTAGATCTGGCCCTATGCACATGTTAGACAGGCCCCACATGCCAGTGTAATCTAGCACTCAGGACCATTTTATCTGGCTTGCTGATCTCCCCACGGGTCCAGAAGTATGGCAGCAGGGGAGTGGTAATTAATGCTGCCTCCGCTTCCCCACCACCAAATTTTCAGACCCTTTGGGGAATCATGCCAGCTGGATGACATGGCTCCGTGGTCTGGATCTGGCTCTGGTGCTGGCAGTTGAGCTTCCGTGGGGTAAGGGGCTCCCAACCACTGGCAGGCTGGTAGGGGGCAGCCTCTTTCCTCCAGCAGGATGGGGGTCCATAGGGTACAGTGACTCCCTTCCCCACAGGTTTCAGGGTCTGAACACTGCACAGCTGGGTCTCAGAACTGCTGAGGGGGGTGAGCTGGAACTGCAGAGTGCTTAGCACAGAGGAACTATGGATTGGTTCCCTTCTGGCCTTCCTATGTCCTGCCTGGCCCCAGTGCCCTGCCCGAATCTCCCGGGGAGCCTGCCCACCCACAATGTGCTGTCCTCTGCTCCCCCAAAACTCCTTTTGCAGTGGATACTGTAGGTCCCTCCTCCGTGAAGCAGACAGTGGGGGGCCCCCCTGTTCAGCCTGGCCTGGGAGCTGTATGCACCCTTGGCACCTCATAGCCTCTGCATCAGGAGAGCTCATTTTCCAGCCTGTTAACTGCACCGGGTGGGCTCCTGTGCTGACGCGGCGCCAGCCAGAGCCCTGGCCCTGCAGCTCAGCTCCCCAGGGGCCTCCTGCTTGTAGCTAGCTGCAGAGAAGCCAGGAGAGCTACAAGCATAGGGGGGGGAGGTGGTCACAAGGCAGATGTCCTGACCCTGCTAGGCACGGAGCCTGGAGCCTATGCCCTTGGCTTTGGAGACAGCTCCAGTGCCAGGCTGGGAAGGGTGCCCTTTGCTTGCAGGTGGGTGTGACCTCTGGGTAGGCGGGACATAATTGCCCTCCTCTGTATGTGCATGGTGTGTGGCTGATGCTAGGCCAGCAGAATGAGACTGAAGAGGATGCAGTTTCCATGTAGGATGGCACTGCCAGCTTCCCCTCTACTGATGGGGCAACAAGGCAGATCCCCGTAGGTTCTGTGTGTCTGGACAGGCCCCAGCCCTGTGCCAGCTGCTTGCTGAATACATGGCTGTGCTATTGCAGCATTCTGGGGCTCTGTGTACCCAGGGCTATTGCCTGCTACAGGCTTAGAGCGCAGCACCCAGGGAAGGGGATATGTCCTGGGTGGACTAAACCACTTGAAAGGCAGTAATGGCCACACACCCACTCTGGGTGGGGAGGCAGCTGGGCTCACCTGAGAGGAGGCTGGAGAGTGATATGGGGTGAAGGAACTGGCTGTGGTAGGAGAGGGCTGGGTCTCGCACCACAGTAGCTGGAGCTGTAAGAGGTCCATCACAGCCTGCATGTGCCCACAACCAGCCATCCCAATCTGTAACCAGGCCTTCCCCCATCCCTAAACCCTGGCCATGGACTCCCTCTCCCCTTCCACCACTTAGCTCTACTAATGCCCCCCAGGCCCTTGTGCTATTAATATCTCCAGTTTACTGCTGGCAGAAACAGGTGCATGTACCTACATGCATACATGGCTGCTGGGGTGATGTTCTCCTGTCCCCCTAAATTCACTACACCCCCCCCCTCCAGTAGCTGCTCTTTAGCTCCTGTCTTCAGCACATAGTCTCCTGCCCCGATGGTGAGTCTAGAAGTGCTCTCTGCCCCATGTGACATCCCCAAGGGTGACCCCACTCTAGCACATGCCCCAATGGGCTCCTGCCTGGCCCTGGACTTTGCTCACAGGTTATTTTGCAAATCCCATCTTGTTCTGCCCAACTCAGCAGTAAACCCTCACCTACCTTCAGGGATGGGGCAGTGAGGGGAAGGCAGCTGGAGGAGTGGCTGAGGGGCTGGCTGGCAGAGAGAGATGAAAAAAGACTTAGCATTTCCCTTCTGCTGGTGCTACTGTGAGTCCAAGCCCGATCTTATCCTTGCTGGTCTTATGCAAAGAAACGAGTTCATCAGATTTCAGCACCTAGCTGCAGACAGGGTGGGCAGCACAAAAATGCCCCCATGATGGGCACCAACATCCCCCTCCCCTCCCACTGGCAGAGCAGCCTGGCATAGAGTTGGGCCACAGAGTGCAACTGGGGCACAGAGACAGTGTGAGGGGGGTGGCAGCCCTGCTCTGTCCATGCTTCCCCTGCTCATGGGAGCCAGCTGCTGTGTCCCACTTGCCACCTCAGAGCCCCTCTGGAGTCCCAGCTGGCGCAAGCCAAGCAGGCTGTCGATGGGAATCTGCATATGTATTTGAGGCGGGGGGCATTGGGCACGTGCAGCTGTGTCTCAGCCTATGTGCAGGCAGCTGCCAGGGAAATGGGGCTCCCAAGAGGACTTAGCCCCAAGTGGGAAAGTGCAGCAAGGAGGAGGTTGCAGCCACTCCCCCCTTGGCTGCTGGCAGCATGTGCGCATGGACCCTGGCTCTGACCTGTGGTGCTGTAAGGTAGCCAGGCCTGAAGGGGTGCTCCATTCCCCAAGCAGCTGGCAGCAGTGCATGTGCTGGAACCCACTCTCTTACTGGGCCTGGGAGGTAGGCATCTTGCAGAGCTTCCCTTCCTTGCTGCCTGCCTGCCTCGGGAATCACCTTGGCTTCACAGACCATCCCCAGCCTGTGCCTGTGGGCACCTCCAGGGCCAGCTTACCAGTGGCAGGGGGTAGTGGACATGCCTGAGGGCTGAGGTGGTAGAGTTTGGGGCAGGACAAATGCTGCTGCTTTATATTCTGTGGTTCCTTATCCTCCAGCCCTGCCACTGCTCTTCCTTCCTGACCCACAGCCCCCTGCTGTCCCAGCCCTAGGCTCCCACCAGCTAGACTGGTGCTTCTCATGCCTGTCCTGCAGCCTCCCTTTCC